TCAAAGAGACAATGAGCTCTTTGCCGTTCTGTTGCCGGGACATCGCACGGCGCTGTCGCATCAGGCTCGCCTACCTAGTGGAAGAGGCGCCAATGGCTTTTAGGTTTTAAGTGGGGAGATCTTTTCACAGCCTGAGTAGGTCATCCTCCACTTAGGATATCTTATGATTGGAGACGATCCCCTCAAGTCCCTCAGCGACACACCGCTTCGTACAATTAGGCGCAATTAGGTGCATACACGCCATTCTTGTTCCAAGCGCGATTTGCTGCCTTTGAATCGGAACGACCAGTTGTTCTCAAGCTTCAGAGGTGTCAAGCTGCGAGGCGTCAAGCTGCGGGAAGCGTCAAGCTGATGCGCATCTTGCAGGACTAGGCCGACTGACGACTGTGCTGAAGCCAAGCATTTGTGGCTGCCCTTTGCGGTTCCGCGCCAAAAGCTTCGGTCGCTGACCTGTTTGAATTGCAGAAGTTCGGCGAAGGGGCGCGGGGGTGTCCATCTTCCCATGTTTTTTTATGTAAAGCCAGCTTTGCGGCGTTGAGGTGAAGCGAGTTCCTTGCCAAGCACACACCGTGGACAGCCGGGGTCTTGTTTATGCTGGGCAACGTCAGGCGGCAGTGTTTTCTTTGGTGGAAGGCACGCTGAGATGTGAACTGCGCAAGACCACTCTCAGTGCAGCACTGTTAATTACCCCCCTGCCCCACTCATTAAAGTCTGATGGCAGGCCCCATATCAGCCAACAGAATGCCGACCGCCGTGCTTCACACTGGCCTACCTCGTGCGTGGACATGCCTGCCACGAGGTGGCTGGACATCGCTCCGCGTCAGCGCGCAGGCGCGGCAGCAGGGGGGTCCCTGGTGGATAAACTATCTTGAATTCAAACAAGGCCAAGGTGCTGGGAGTGAGATCTGTGAACAATTCCCTTTTGGAGTCGCCTCGAAATTTGATTGCCAAACTCTAGATGTTCGAGGTCCTCGAAGTGTTTTCTGATTTGAAAGCACAACATGGGGAAGATTCAGCGGCCGGGTTCATTGCACCAGCCCAACAGGTGGGATTGCTTGGTCGAAGTCAATCGTCAATCATTAGGGCATTGCGCTCTCGAAGGTCTAGCTCTCTGAATGTATCATGATCCATCCAGACGCCTCGTTCACAGCAGACCGGTCCCAACACCTAGGGATTTGAGACCCCAGATCCCTCATGATCCCTCCATATGAGAGTCCATGAACGTCTGGGCAAAACCTGATTTTAGGACATCAACGAGGTGACACCGCAACCTCAAAGAGACGTGGTCTCGACACGCACGTGGAACTCGTGGAACCATGGAGGGATCGTCGTTTACTTAAAAAAGCAGACGGCAGACCCCACAATTCTTCAAAGATGGATGAGGAGTTCCACGTGGTGGCTTTTTTTCATTACGCAGTAAAACCCACTCCTTTGATCCCACTTGGGGTTTAAACCTGTGATCCGTATGCCTGGGACTTGATACACTGTATGCGTGGATCTTGCAGCATCTTGCAAAACTTGTGCCTCTTTTCATGTATATATATAGAACCAACCCCAGGCGCCTTGCACAGTTGGAAGATCAAGGTATACCAGGGGCCTTGATCAAACCATCAGAGACAAGGGTTTGGTATGTGAACACCTCTATGTTCCATGGGAAACTGAGGGCAACTGGTACGTAGTTTTACACCACTACGCTCAAGATGTCTAGTATAGCTGTAGCTGTATAACATTGTATAGCCATGTCAAGAGTGATCTACGCCGAAAGGCGATCGCCTAGACACTTGGGGTTTCAAGAGTTACTGTGAAGTTCCTGACACCTTGCGCCACCTCGCTTGTCTTTGGCAGTTTTGGGCTCAAATAGCTTTGGAACGAGCAAAATTGACTATGAGCTGGCAACAGGTGACACGGTCTATGGTCTTTTTAGGTGTACTTACCAGGAGTCACGGGGTGGTGGACACCTCGTCCCATCCACTCGCTCGAGAGGTGGATGCCACACGGGCAAGTAGTACCTGTACTCACGGAACCGGCACTCCGAGCGACCTGTGACTCCGAGGGGTGCATGAATTGGAGTCCATTTGAGGTGTGTTGTTCCTGTGTGTTGTTCCGCAAGCCGACCTAGGATATATGGTCGCCACGCATGAAAGGATTGCCAGAGATATGTTATCAAATCAAAGAGAAAAGGCCGACCCAGACCCAGAATCGCACCATTTTGTTACAAACCATCTCCTAGTTCAGTATTGTGTGATGAATTTTCTCACAAACCCACTGAGAAAGAAGACACATCGATTCTTTCACGGCTTCAGCTTATCATCAGCAAGCACTTCAGCCGCGACCATTTTTTTTACTGTAGCAGGAAACAGTTTCTTCATGTTTCTTCATCCCCAAAATAAAGACGCCGTCGGGGCGCACCAACCGCTGCTGAACGTATAAAAAAACGCGTCTAAACCGCGTGTTCCGTTTGCCGCGTCTCAACTGGTTCTCCCAATGGGACCGGCGGAAACTCCGATGGAAGAGCTTGAGCTTGGCCACCGCAACTAGTCGAGGAGAGTCAGCCGTCCTTTCGGCGCTGTCCAAGAGGAGGAACGTTGAAGGCTTCGAGGTTTCACATGGGTTTGGGGGTGTTCCAAGACCAGACGAATGGGACTGGAAGATGGTTATTTGACATGGATGGGTGATTGTCATGGGGTATATGTCTGAAACTTCCGATCCCATTCGTCTGATCGACCAGACACTGCAGGTGCATCTATGATTCATGCCCATGATACTTATGACCGTTGGGATTTGAGACACAGCAGCTGCAGGTTCATCAACATCAACTGCAAAGCAACACTTGCCACAGAAACTTCCCAAGATGCCCCTAACAGGAGGTGTTGTCGTTGTCGTTGTCGTTGTCGTGGTCGTGGTCGTGGTCGTGGTGGTGGTGGTGGTGGTGGTGGTGGTGGTGGTGGTGGTTGTTGTTGTTGTTGTTGTTGTTGTTGAAATGCGCTCCACCCCTGATTTGTCATCTATCCTGTCAAATATGACCGATATGACATGATAGTGACTCATAACAGCAGTCTATTGACCATCAGCCATTTCGGGAGCCAAACCTTTGGCCCCGCAACACGACTCCGTCGTTGACCCCAGCCCTCGCGCGGTGCCGTCGTTCGCCGTGACCGGTGCGGTCGCCTGGTCTCGCGGTCGGTGCGGTCGCGCCGAGGCTGGAAGCAGTTGAAGTCCTTCGTGCGAGGACTGGCGAGAGACGAGGTGGAGGTGTCCCGGGTTTTTTGGGTCCGTTTTTCGGCGGAGGGTGCAGGGATGTGCAGGAATAGCCTTCTCGGGGGGTCAGCAGTGGCGAGCCACCTGGATGGTGTGGAGAGTAGTCCATGTATGTCCGGGTAGCCTTGTGGGATCGTGGGAGGTGCTTTTGGTCGGTGGGCGACTTCCAGGGGTTGTATGTTTTTGATTTTTGACGTTTTGCGGAAGAGGGATCGAATGTTTCTTTGGGGATTGATGACGGCATGAACACCTTTTCATGATTCAGAAGTGTCATTGATCGAGTTTCGATCTGCTTTGCTTCGATCTGCTTTGATGGGTCTTTCATGGTGGCGCCAGTAATTACACTAGGTTTGTTCATCCAAATCTGGTGAATCATCGCAATCAGGCAATATGTCTCGAGAATGGAGATTTAACTAGAGTGCACGTGACACCTTCTGGCAGTAAAAACAGGTGCATATCGTGACAAGACCCGAGGCTTTCCAGACTCTCAGGGTGCTCCACTTTTGGGGTGGAAAGACTCCGAAACGGTCTCGGTCTCAGATTGGTCTGTCCCCAACCGTCCGCGCGAGACGAGACGCGTCGCGTCCGCGCGCGAGACTCACGCGAGAGAGTTGAGGTGCGCAACACGGTGGAGAAGGGCTTCAGCCTTCACAGCACCGCGTCCATGGCACCAGGTACGGGAGCCGAAGCTCCCCGGGGCGCGCACGTGCGTGCGCGGCACGCGACGCGTCTCGTGCCTCGAGCGGGCCAAGAGCTCGGGTGCTGGATGCATTGATGAATCCTCTTAGATGAATTTACTAGGGGCACCGAGGTGGGCCATGTGTGGCAAGTAAGAAGCCTGAGGACATATATGAGGACTATATGAGGCATTGGGTCATGACTTTGAGCTACACTCCTGAAAGAAGCATGGAAGTGGAGTTCACCACCTGTATGATACTATCTAGACCATATAGACGGCAAAATGCCCAATTCCCGAAGTGCCTCGTGTGGGTTGTCCTTTCGTGTGGGTGGTTCTTTCATCAGGAACCCTCCTGCTGACGCTCCCCTTCAGCTCCTGCGTGATGAGCGATCCAAGCACAGCTGCTCCACGGCACTGGGCTGGGACCGTGTTTTTGGTAGCTACCGGAGCGTTCCCTAAGCACTCGGGAGACTTCTGAAGTTCGCACCTTCAGAGCAGCCCGGTACCTGGATTGAATCCATAAGAATCCGGGCTCTCAAATACGGTTTTGAGGGCCCGGACCCCTGCTGAGTGGTTTGTTATTTGCATGTATATAGAAAGAACATCCCCTTGCTTCCGGCGACTCTAAAATGAGTGTGGTCGACCACGGAAAACGCATTTTATTTGGCTTATTTAGTTTGAGGGTTATCTTAAATGGGTCTTAACTAAAACAGTTGGCACCCACAGATTTGCAACCTTGTCAAATTAGCCAGTTGTTCTAGATAATTCTAGATAGCATTGTGAGACAGTTCTTATTTTGTTTAACTGTTCAGATCAAATGACTTGTGCAGACCTTTGGTGTGTGAAAGTCATTCATTTCTCCACACCGAGTCGGATCCTCAGAGCGCCTTGCGCTTGGCACTGCTGCAGCTGGAACCCAAGGCGGGTGGACCGCTCTCCGCGGTCGATCTGTGTGTCGGAAGTGACCGTGCTGGTGTTCGGTGTCCGGTCTACCCATACTTCCATGGGACATTCTATGAAGTTGGGATGTCCTACAAGAATCCCGAATGGGATCCGTTTTCTAAACCGGACCCGGTCCAGTGTGTTATGTCGGTGTTCGACCCTGTTATGGGTGCCGGTCGCTCAATGAGACCTTCTGGTCCAGTCGTACCGAAGCGGGTCGGAACGAAAACGGATCCCTATGGGTCCGTTCGAGGGGGGCTTGGACTCCCTCCAATCGGCCAAGCTTGGTGTGTCTCGCCGTGATTTGCCCCCTCCCACCAAACACCCGAAACATGCGCGGAAGAGCTCCCAGTTTGACCCACCTGGAAGAAGGAACCATTGGGAAATAGATCAAAACATATATCAAAACCATTGTGGGGGTCCTCTATTATAAAGATGAGTTATGGCCATAGGCCATAGGGCCAGTTCAATCGAGTTCGTCCGGAACTGCGCGGACGTCTTGCCGATGGACGATCCGCCGAGGACCCTCGTGCGGTGTACTTTGCCTTGGCTGCACCGATGAGCAGTTTCGGAGGCACGGACTTCCTGGACGGAAGGTGGAGGGGGTGAAGTCAGATGTTTTCATGGATTTTTGATCCTGTTTTCTGTTTTTTTTTTTTAAATCTTTTTAATGATTTCCAGTCTTTGATGGGTCTTGACAATCATAACTATAATGTGTTTTGGAGTCCTCATGAATCCTTATAAGTAACAAGCATTGGACACTGGTCCGCATCCGCATGAAGAACAATTGCTTTGGGATTTAGGTGCACGTCTTAGAAGGGATCCACCCCAAGTGATCCGCTCTTCATGCCCCAGGGCGAACATCCAATAACAAGGAAACATCAAGCAACTGCCAGCTTTTTTCTTGCAGATCTGGCAAAACCCTTGCATTCACCCCCCAAAGCCGAAGCAC